GCCCCGGGTTTTACCCCAGTACCGCATACAACTGAGCATGGGCGTATGTACATGCCTGTTATCTCAGCACTGGGGAGTTAAAGGCAAGAGTGCCAGGGGTTCTGGATCATCCTTAGTACATAATAAGTTAGACATCCCCCTGTGCTGTGTGGACCACTATCGATAAAAAAGTGGGGGTGGGGGGAGCAAGGTGACTCAGTAGTAAAGGCACTTGCTGCAAAGCCTCGCAGCCTGAGTCTGATCTTCAGAACCCACAGAATGGAAGGAGAGAACAGACTCCTGAAACAGCTGTCCTCTGAGCTCCACACACGGGCACCTGAGTGCACACAGTGCCCCCTCCCCACATACAGAGACACACACACATACACAAAGACATACACACACACACAGACACACACACAAATAAATGTAAAATAATTCAAAACAAAAAGAAATGCACATGTGTCCATTCGTTGTGTGGAGTGTCTGTATCATGGGAACTTACTCCTTTGCTTCCTCCCAACAAATTATCTGCAGGCTCCCACTATGGGCCCTGAGAGGCCTTGGGATAACCGCAGAGTCTCTAGATCTTCATAGATATCTGAGGGATACCGCAAACACAATGTCTCCAGCCCCCTTTCAGCTCAGAACTTACAAACAAAAACTTTCCCTGTTCATAATCCAAGGAATCCAAGCCAATTTTCTTTTGGGGGTATTAAATTTAGACATATCATCCTGACCAGGAGATATTTCCGGACCCTGAACGAGCATTTAGTGCATGCCAGTTTCCAGGACTCCACCCCAATCTGGGGCAACTCTGCATGCTGCCTACGTTATCTTATCCTTTGAAAACAGGGGAAAGTGACCCAGACACCGGAACACACTCAGAAATGGGTCATTTCGTTATCCATTAATTGTCATTTAACACCTTTGCCATCTAGGTTACATGGAGATGAAAGTCATTAAATCTAAATGAAAACCTGACTTGAGGTTTGAAGCTTCCCCGAGCTCTCTCTGTTCTGGCAGTTGGATATTGTGGGCACATTTAGTAGCAGGATGTGCTTTTTTAAAAGACAGAAAGATAAATATTCTGCGAAACATTCAGCTAAATGGATGAGATTCCAGAGGCCTAATTAAAGGCATGCCTGGTACTATACTTTGTCAGGCTTTCCTGGTAATGGATTTTGTGTTTGCAAATGGACTACACTTTGCAAAGCCTGAAAATCACCAATGAGATTAATGGGCTAAATAAAGTAGCCAAATTTTATAACAATTTATAGAGGCTCCTTGGTTATCCATTCAGATTGAAATATAGTCCTCACCGGACATTTTCTGAGGGCTTCAAACCATCACTAAGTCATCATTTGCTGAGAACTTACCATTTATCAGCAGCTTTGAAAACTACGTCACAAATGTGTGAGAACTGAGTCCAACATTTCTGTGTGTGGTGTGGTCCTATTTCCCCTCCTCTGGAGGCAGTTCCCACTGTTGTGAGCAGGCTGTGCTTCCCACAGCAAATCTGCACTCGCTACAGAAGCTGTGTGAAGTCTTTAGAGGAGAAGAGGGGACCTCCTTCAAGGGCATCAACAGAGATAAGAGGTGCTAAGAGGTATTCCAGGATGGAGGTAGAGCCTAAAGAAGATGGAAATACTACACAGAGACCACACCATAGGTCCTGTGGCTTCCTGTCTGCATGACGCTTTCCTGTCCTGGGTTTCACATGGAGGCAGCAGCACCATTGTAGGTGAATGGACCTGCAGGCTGCAGTGATGAGTGAGCAAGGGGTCATATGGTTCCTTTAAGCTTCATCAGCTGCAGAACATTCCCTGGGAGCTAGCACCCCTCAGCATGTGTGCCAATGGGAGGATGTTCTATCATGAGATTGCATTTCCTTTCAACCTAACAGATGAGGGGCTCAAGGTCAGACTTCAGCAGATTACAAAAGAAAGTCATCCGTGCAGATCTGAGTCATAGACTGAGATCAGAGATGACCTCTGTCACTTGGTAATCCCATTAAGGTAGAGATTGCCCACACTGAGGAACTGAGGAAAATGTAATAAAGTGTAAGACCTGGGGTCTCACAGCTCAGGAGTTCAAGATCGCGCCCTTCCCAGAAACTCCCCCAGACCAAGACTCGTTGCAAAAGTAAGAGGTTTATTAACCATTGCGCAATGGGGTCACCCCTGCCAGTCAGCAAAGAGTGGCACCGGGAGACAAAGGCCTTTAGGTTTTTAAAAGAAAAATTGCGGGAGATTTGAAGTTGCAGTCTTGGCAATTTAGGATTGGATGAGGAAGCTATAAAGTAAGATAATTGGTTAGCCTTAGGTGCTCAAGCTTGGCCAGTCCTGCCAAGTGTGGATGCAGCTGCAATTGAAGGTGGGGGTGGTTAGCTCATCCTTTAAGATTAGGGGCTGCGGACTTTTGGCTGGAGGTCAAAAGCTACTCAGAAGAAGTCTAGGTTTGTTGCTAAGAAATGCTATCTCAAAGACAGGAGTTTTTCTTTTTGCTGAGTTAAGGTCATTGCTTGCTTGCCTTTTTTTCTATCTGTCCTCATAGATAGGGTCACATTTTTTTATTCTCTGGAAAGGTACTAAGAGGCTTTAGCTTAACATGAACCTAAAACTCAAAACTATA